AATAAGATGATACCCCTGTGTCACCAATGAAGACATTAAAGAATAATATAAGACATAAATGAATGGGAGAATGGGGGGGTTGGGGTAAACATAAAAAAATGATGGCCCATAACATTTTGACATGGAGCATGAAACTCATTCCCATTTTCCCCTTTTTAAAAACCTTCTGTTTCTTTATGTGGTGGACTAAAAATTACATGCACATAACTTGATATCATCATCATGCACATTTCTTGTAGTGATTTCAATTCAGAGGCTCTCATCTACCTTTGCCTGTTAGAAGGCAGACTAAGACTGGCACAGCAGGCTTGTATATCAACTTGGTACCACAGAAGCTTGGCATCCCAACAGGTCCCTTTAGGACAAGTAACCCTGCCCAGAGTGCCTAGATCTTGTAACAATAATAGTTTATTTATTTATTTTTCACATTCAAGGGAGCGCGGGACTGCAGCTTGACTCATTCCAGCAGGTTCTGTCTGATGGGGCTTGTCCTGTGGCATCGTGTTTGGTGCCAAGCCTTGATAATTGTTCTAAATGTGGCTTGCGCTGTTGGCTGAGTTTAATTAAAAACAAAGTGTGGAAATAAAACAGATGACGCCTGTCAATAACCCTGGCCTGTATCTTAGTCTAGACCCTTTTCTAGGGCCATGGGGTGGGGTACTAAGGACTGGAGCAGAAGATGGAGCCCAGTGTCCCCACAACAGGAGGAACTCTTCCTGGTATAGGATGTTCCTTTAAATCCTGGTGGGTGCTCGTAGTGACCACGAATGGCGCCGTGAAGATATACAAGTTTTGAAAGCATGTCACCAGCACACCATTTAGGTGAAATCAACAAAAGTCCATTTATTAATGGAGTACTGTCATTCCAGTACAAGCGCTTTCGAGGGCCGCACAGGGTCCCCTTCATCAGGCTCAGAATGAAGGTGGAGCCATGCGCAGCCACTCTGAATTCAAAAAGTGGCAGCGACCATTGGGGAGTAGAACCTCATGATCCAGGTAAGTAGGGGTGGCACGTTGGTAATGTAACCACGTTTCAAGTTATCCCCTAAATGGAGTACTGTTATTCCAGTACAAGTGCTTTCGGGGCCACACAGGGTCCCCTTCATCAGGCTCAGAATGATGGTAGAGCCATGCACACCCACTCCAAAAGTGGCAGCAGCCTGTGGGGAGTAGAATCCCGTGATCCAGTGGGGGTGGCGGGTTGGTAATGTAACCACGTTTCATGTTACCCCCTAAATATGGGTGTAACGTGAAACATTGTTCAAAAAATAAACTTAGCCAGTTTCCCTTTAATGGAAGGCCTCCTGAAGGATGGTGTCAGTGAATGTAGTGTGTGATCACAGATCATAAGTGTTTGTGTCTTATGTCTGAACACTTGTATATGATGAATATTTCTTTGTCTTACTGTCCAGGAACACCACATCCACTTGTACATTCGATGCTCAGCACCGTGTTCTCATGTTGCCTCTGTAACAAGTACATTACGGTGAAGTTATTGAATGACGTGTGGAGCATTGTGTGTGATTCCTGCCAGGTTCTCACTGTGCGCCTGTGTGTAATCCTATACAAGTGCACACCTCATTCCTCTGTATTTGTATTACCTGAGAAAAGGCCATCGCTATCTTCTATTTACATTTCCTTTTAAAGGACACATACAGGAAAGTGCAGATGTCTGCTCATGATCTTCTGACTTCATTCCTTGCTATGTAGTCTATAAATAAAATAAATGTGCAATTAAAAGAGAGACTACAAATTAGCAGGACATTGAAATAATAATATGAGGGTATAGTCACTTGTTTCTTTTTTTAATTTAAATTGAATGCTAGTAGTCCGATTACCTAAGTTTAAAGCCCAACTCCAGGCCCAACTATTTTCTTTGCATACAGTGTGGAAAAAGTAAGAACCTCTGTCAGGTTTTAAATGCTAGTAGTTGGTTGAGGAGCGTTATTATAGAGAAGTCTTCATGTGCTTCTGATCTTTAAAGCTCTTGTTTATTTGGAAACATGTATAGAGAATATACCCGATGTGTTTTAGGGTTAGACCCCCCTTCGCCGAGGCTATAGGCTTGGAAATGTGGGTTAGTCTGTTATGGATTCATAGAGCCAGGTGGGATACCTTGAGTGGGGCTGAGCTCCTTCAGTTTGGGGGTATTCCAAATCCAAGCTGATTGACTATAGATATGTTGGTAGAGCAATAGACCCAAAACACAAGCATAAAACATTGAATCTATATTTTCAAGGCAGTTCTCCGTCAAGCAGGGTATTTCTGGGGGTCCCCATAGTAGTTTAAGTGTAGAGAGGGTGAGAGCACCACAGATAAAATGGAGGCCCACAACATGTTTATTCCGCACTACAAGAGATCACAAGAAACAGCCAACGTGTTTCGGGGGCTCAATAGTTAGAACTTCTTTCAGGATCTTATTGATGAGTACCCACGCGATTGATTTTGCATCACTTCCTGTACAGACCTCAGACAAAACTGGAAGTGATAGATATTGACATGTCTACATAGCCATTGCTCTGGATCTGTTTTGCCAACGCTGCCATCACTGCGTACTGGTGCTGTTGGGCCAAAGTATGCCACATGTGGGCAGCGCGCAATTAATTATAGGGCACATAGTCCCAAAGACTTAGATCTCAAGTGCACAAGATAGGAAATAACGCTAGATTAGCTAGTAGTTGGGTGTAGCTTAATGTGAAAAGCAATTTTACACTGAGGGTTTAATACTACTTTAGGTACTTATCATCTGATTTGACAAAGTGCTAATGTTTATGGTGGGGGTACAGGTTTTGAAGTTCAGGGCCTGTGATTGCCATATGGAAGCCCTTTCCTTGGATGACACGGTTATCTATGGGTTGAGAGGAGGTGAGGGCCAAGGATCATTACCTCCAATGTCCACAACAGGTGTCAGTCAGTAGAGCTGCCTCCTAGTCAGGCAATAGTCCTTGACATGCCAATGTCCATAGTTACAACCAATGGAAGCAGCACTGTGTTGGGTAGCCCTGTCTCACACAACATGAGATATGAATGGTGTGGCTGTGTGTTGCCAGTAGCTCTATGCAAAGCAGTTTCTGCTGTGGAACAAGTGTGGCAGCACCGAGGGGTTGCAATGTACCCATTATGTGGCCAAGCTCAACGGGTAAATTGCAATCAACCTTTTCCTGACCCTGGGTTAGAGGAGCATCATGTTGTTTGTAGTTGACTTGTCATTCTAATAAATTATTTCCTCCTCTACCCTTTAATATTGATGATCTTAGCTATGTATATTGTTTTAAGAAACAAATGTGTTCTGTTTATAGTTTTTAATTATATATAGATAGGCGTATTAATATTTGCTTATTACGTAAGGTGGTTCTGCTTCCTACATAGCCGTGGTGCACAGCAATTGTGACAGTGACTGTTTCAGTGTAGGTCTACCAGCTCAGTCTGATAGTAAATACCATAATCCCTGGGTGGTTTATCATGCTATATCAGCAATTACTTAAAGCGGAGATTTAGTTCCACAGCCCTTGCCATAATGTGCAAATATACACAACATGCTTATGTAGCGCTCAACCCCGAAGGAGCCGCTGAATGCCCGGTTCATCTCTAGTATGTCTAGGGTATGATCTTCAGCTGCCCACCCATTAGCATTAACCGCCCTTCTTCTAGTGCCCACAAACTGATGTCCACTCCAGTAGTATAATGCTGAATAACTTTATTGAACATCTACACTGGGGAGAGTACTTAGGTCCAGGAAACTTCGAGAGCCATCATTGGTCCTGGGTCTCTTCCTTTCCAGATACACAGACCTCCTCCATGTTGGGGGTCTAAGGGAGACATTTCCCTAATACCAGCCTATGCCCACCCCCAGGCCTTAGGCCTAGACTGGGGGGTAGGCTGAACAGCACCCAGCCCTATTCCATGGCTGGTCCCGGCTAGTCTGAGCACATGGCAAATCCCTCCAGCATATGCACCCTAGTCCAGCATGCACCACTGGTTGAGAGAAACCCAGCGATTGGCTGCTGTGCTGTACATACACTATAGCATCTCTTATTGGCTGTCCCACAATATGACAGAGTCATACTCCGCCCAGGGGGGTACAGACAATGCCAGACACCTGGAATTAACCAGATAACTGCCACTATAATTCCAGCCAGGCTGACTACAGCCCTGGCTATCACTAAATGCCTATTAGCCACATCACAGAAGGTGATGGTGGCTACACATACATATTATGGCAGACTGACCGGGATGTTTACACTCATCCAGTGCTGACAAATCAGAGTTGTCCCTTGTTGCTCCATCTGCTTCCACAGTCATCTTCTCCTGGTCTTCTTCCGGGTTCCTGTCAGCCCTCTTCAGCCATTGATGATGAAACCCCTGCACATGCACATTGGAGTTACATTGTCCCAGCATCCATCACCATTCTCAGCATCTTACAAAATGAGGGGTGTACATTGCACTGCACATGTGTGCTGAGTTACATTGTCCGAGCATCCATCACCATTCTCAGCATCTTACAAAATGAGGGGCGTACATTGCACTGCACATGTGTGCTGGAGTTACATTGTCCCAGCATCCCTCACCATTCTCAGCATCTTAAAGAATGAGGGGCGTACATTGCACTGCACATGTGTGCTGGAGTTACATCGTCCCAGCCTTTCTCGCCATTCTCAGCATCTTACAGAATGAGTTATAATAAATAGGAGAAGTTGATGGTTGGGGCTTACATACACTTTAAATTGTGGACTGGTCTACAGATGTCACAGCAGCCTATGGAAAATATAGAACAAAGGGATTGTCAGACCAGCGGTAAAGTCCAAGTAAGATAGTTCACCTATTGATAAAAAGTGTGCCAACTCCTTCATCAGGTCTTTAACCCTTTCAAGACAAATCTTTTAATCCTGAATACTTCCTAAAAAAATGGTCAGTCCATGGATCTTTCTCCGTTATCGCTAGGAAATGTTATGTACCGTTCAACCAAAAACTGAAATTGCATTCTGTGTCCATCTCCGCAGGATAGTGACGGTGGTCCTTGTCATAGTGAGCGTCATCTGGATTCCTATCCTGCAGAACGCCAACAGTGGTCAGCTGTACGTCTACATCCAATCCATCACCAGCTACCTGGCCCCTCCCGTCACGGCCGTCTTTGCCTTGGCAGTGTTTTGGAAGAGAGCCAATGAGCAGGTAAATTAAGCATTTGAGTTGCATTTTGGGGTCATAGCTAAGGGCATGTTTTCCAGAACTTCCAGAACAAAATGAATTTCCTGCTGCAGGTCCACATTTGTGGAGCAACATTTGTTCTTGCAAATGGTTCATTCAACAACATAAGGCAGACAAGGGAAGAGCTCGTCACGTAGCATATGCATGTCTTCATGCCTTTAATGTGAACCTATTCATTAACATAACTTAAAAAAGATCTTCTACCAGTC